CGAGATTGAAGAACTATTAGAACGTTTCTTTAATCTCAACTCAAATTATGCAGATGAAGCCTATGATTTGTACACTGTTGCACTTCATTTTCGTTTATTCAGACAACATGGCTACCGTATATCTTGTGATATCTTTAAAAAATTCACAGACGAGATTGGAAAATTCAAAGAGAGTATTAAGAGCGATGCAAGCGGATTGCTAAGCTTATATGAAGCTGCATATTTAAGAGTGCATGGAGAAGATATACTAGAATATGCCCTCTCTTTTACAACAGATAACCTGAAATCCATGGCACCAAATCTAAGTTCTACCCTTGGGAAACAAGTAGCTCATGCCCTTGTGCAATGCATCCATTTTGGGAACCCAAGAATTGAGGCACGTAACTTTATCTCCATCTACCAAGAAGATGAGTCCAAGGATGAAATGCTGCTAAGGTTTGCCAAATTAGACTATAATTCATTGCAAATGTTGCATAAAAAGGAGCTCTGTGAAGTATCGAGGTAATGCTCAATTGACAATTTCATAAAATAGCTATGTGTTTGTGTGTGTACATAAATTAATAATATGCATTCCTGATAAATATTGCAGGTGGTGGAAGGATTTGGACCTTGTTTCTAAGCTTCCATATGCTAGAGATAGAGTGGTAGAATGCTTTTTCTGGGCGATGGGTGTTTACCATGAACCTCAATATTCCGTTGCTCGAATCATGCTCACGAAAACCATTGCAATGACGTCAATAATAGATGATACATATGATGCCTATGGTACAGTTGAAGAACTTGAAGTTTTTACAGAGGCCATTATGAGGTACGTATTTATTTCTTTTAATTGAATTCACAATATTAATCCAAAATAGTTTGTCGAAGTAATAAATTGTTTATTCGTGCTCGTAATCATGAGAATTTCTTGTTTTTTCAGGTGGGATATTAGTGAAGTCGATCGGCTTCCAGAGTACATTAAACCATTCTATAGTGCTCTTTTAGATCTTTATGAGCAATTTGATGAAGAACTATCCAAGGAAGGAAGATCTTATGCAGTTCATTATGCAAAAGAAGCTGTAAGTACTACATTCACTATTACTCCACTACTAATGCGAAGTTCATATTTCTTGCTCTTGGTTATATTCCCCTCCTTAAGTTACTCAAATATCTACTAATCTGTATGTAGTTGAAAGAACTTGTGAGGACATACTGGGTAGAAGCCAAGTGGTTCATCGAAGGATACTTGCCACCATTTTCCGAGTACATGAACAATGCCTTAATCACATGCACTTACGTTTATCATACAACTACATCCTTGTTGGGAATCAAATTTGTTACCAAGGAAGACTTTGAATGGTTAAGCAATAAACCTAAAATGCTTGTTGCGAGCCTCATAATATGTCGGCTCGTTGATGATATTGCTACATATGAGGTATGAAATGCACTCAAAATTTATTATAGGGATGCATCAATTATACAAATAAGCAATTTTATTTACTTATCTTAGTCTTTTCTTGCCTTCTTGAAGGTTGAGAAGGAAAGGGGCCAAATTGCCACCGGCATCGAATCATACATGAAGGAGAACCAGGTGACTAAAGAATTGGCCGTCGATAAGTTTTTTGAAATGGTTACAAATGCGTGGAAGGATATTAATGAAGAGTATATGCGACCAACTTCCTCACCAAGAGAAATTTTAATGCGCATTCTCAATCTTGAACGCATTATAGATGTTACTTATAAAGGCAATGAAGATGGATATACACAGCCACAAAAAGTTTTGAAACCACATATCGTTTCTTTGTTTATTGATCCCGTTGAGGTCTAATATTAATTGGGATCAAGTTGGTGTCAAATTGATGTAATCGAACATGGTTATTTTTTTTTTCTTTATTGTTACTTATTTACATCCCCGGAGATAGAGCAAAAGCTTCCAATAAGTTGTACACCTTATTGATTATTTATTTTATTCATCATAGTTTGACAGCATATCCATACTGATAAAATCTTCACTTTTGCTACTTCGATGTTTTAAAAACTCTGTTACTTAGCTACTAAATTAAAGTCTCATATTAGATTATAATTTAAAATCTAAATTATATAACAATATAATTGATATCAATATATGAGGATGATACATTTGCTTTGATGACCCCTAAAAAAAATAATAAAATATTTATTACCCGCGTAATAAAATGAAATGAATTCAATAGATTGGAGTATACCTTGCTAGGATTGAACGGAACTATTTCCTTGTGATAAATGGGTGGCCACAAATATATTAAGATCAACTCACATAGAATTTAGTTCAAAGTCAAGTTAATTTAGTCTAATAAGCCAGTCAGTCGACCATTACAGTTATCATGTTAGTACACACTCTTATTTGACTTTTTTCTTTCTATCTTTCCATTCAAACTCTTTCAAAAATTAGATAGTAAAAGCATGTAGTAACCAAAACTTCCTAAGGGGACATTTGTCTTTCGTTTTAAGAGTTATTGATTCAGTGGACAATGAGATAGAATTTTGTTTCTTGCTCATCAAAGCGACAAGATTAGCACCAACATAAAAGCATTCTCCAAAAGTACTCTTTCTATCATCGGCATTTCCAACCCAATTAGCATCAGAATAGCCAGCAAGATCTAGAGTAGAATCCCGAGAGTACATTTACATATCTAATGATAGTCGCAGGAGTTCAGGTGGGATTCCTTGGGATAAGCCTGAAAACGTGCACAAACCCCTA